TTAAAGCCCTTTTTATTCTGTTTTTGAGCCAAGAGCTGTGGTGGGAAATTTGGGAAATGCAGGAGCTAGAGAATAACTTATGTTCTGATTCACACAGGGTGTGTGAATCATGGCAACTCCTAATGGAATTTGCAAATATCAAATTCATCGAATGTCCGTAGGAAAAACTGGTCAGAAGATAAGGAGATATGAACTTTAGATCAAGCTTAATAGCAGTCAGTGATGGTGATACCTATCCCTTGTTGCTGATCATCAGATATTTGCTGCCTTTGAATATGGGATATCCACTTAACTATCATGGATAACAGCCATTGATGCCATCCATTGATTTTTTGAACTTTAATTTAAAGCAGTTTAGACAAATATCTATCTTGTGATGATATACACCTACAGTGTCTTCACTAGTGCATGCATGTGCATAGTATGGGTGTCAGGACTGGCCCCACCATTAGGCAGATGGAGGCAGCTGTCTCAGGCAGCAGGTGCTGGTGGGCAGGGGGAAGAGGGCAGTGAAGTGTTGGGAAACAGAGCTCTGCACCGCCTAAGCTGGCCTGGCATCCTCAGGTGCAGTGGAAGATGCTATCCCATCACTAGAACTGAAGTGAGATTCAGCTTCCCATCCAGCTGACCTTTGTATGTGGAAGGGGCTATCTTATCCCTTGCCTCAAGGCAGCAAAGTGTCATGGCTGCTCTTTGCATCCTGAAAGTAACCTTAAGAACGCACCTATACTGGAGGGTTCTGTGCTCTTAGTTTGTGTCTCACGCAACCTAATCTTCAACGTGTTTACTTGAAGATACTTAACATTGATTTAGATGGGGTTTGCAGCTAAGTAAGTCATCTTGCATTAGTGTGCCATCAGATGGAAGGAAGCAGGTTTGGCCAACCTTATTCACTCCTTCCCACCCACCACCAAGCACTTATTTGCAACCTCTGATCTTCCCAATCTGTAAGGTGAATAGGTGTGAGACTCCAAGCAAGCTGAGATGGACATTGTGAAGGATGGAAGAATAAACCAGTTGTAGGGAATTAATATACACTGTCACAAATATACACCCCCATCAAACAGACTCTGATGCTTACCATTCAAACACTATATCCTTTGTATTTTATTGAGGAATTGTTAGCACAAGGTTGGGATTTTTTATTATTAAAAAAAAAGCAATGACCTTAAAGGGCAAGCAATAGAAAGATGCTAGATTATAGTGTACAAAATCCACTCAATTCAAAATGCAGAATTCTGTTTCCATTATGTAGGTAAAAATAATAACTCTTGAACTGTCACGGCGACAAATGACAGCTTTGTATGGTGATAGTTTGGTAATGGGATTTGACAATAAGAATTGCTTATCGTTCCTCACTATTGTGTATGCTGTTAGGTTACCTGGGCTTGATATGCAAACAGACGAAAGTGTGCACAAAGCCTGCATGTTCTTGAGAAAAATAAAAGGGGAACATCAATTTGCTAAAATAAAAGTGTTGCTTATGTTCTAATACGCCAACGTTGGTCTGTCATTATTGGGCCCTTTCCCCACTGGAGAAAAGAGACTACATCTTCCACAAAGAATTCCCACCAGAAATGTTTATAATTTCTCCATCAGTGAAATATTCGTCTGTCATGCTGTGCAGAAGCTAATCTAATTAAGATGGGATCTGCTAAATTTAATAGCCTGCTATGAATTTTTATGGACATCTGGTGATGGGAACAGTGGCTCTGCTCCGTGTATCAATTTGCATTGTCCAAATGGTGAATATTGGGAGGGCCTGGTCCCTCTTATTGGTAGGTTTGGGTGACTAATTTGAAGAGGGGCACAATTAGACTATACCCACGGGGCTTCTTTGAATTGGACCCTTGATGCTTCAACGCCAAGTTGCCCTGTCAGATAATGCAAGATCAAATAAGTGGTTTCTTTAAATTACCAGTATAGAATACACTGAATGTCTGGTGCTTTGAATCACGGTTAACATGCCAGCTCTCAAAATAGATCCTAATCCAGACAGTGTCTGATCAGATACTGTGCCTCTGAAACATACATGTTTTGCAGCTTAAGAATGCGGAGGAAAGGTAATTGTTCTATTTCTGTACCTGACTCTACCAGGTCAGAGGAGCTGAAGTCAAAAGTTGGGCTAAACTGCCATTCTTCACATCTCCCCATTCCTGATTCGTATGCTAGTTGAAACGCTGGGTGCTCTCCAGGGAAAGGTGATCTGAACAGTTAGAGGGCTGTTCTTTTCCCATGATCCATTGCTTTAGGAGGCCACTCTGACAATAGTGCACATCTTTCTGTCTCTTCGGAGCACTTCTCCATCCCCACGAGCCCCAGACTGAGAATTTTGCATTAATGAGATCTTGGTACTTTTGTGGTTTACTAATCCATCAGCCAGAAAACGCACACACATTTCTTTACACCCGGGCTGATTTCATTGGTGTTCAATTTCCCTAGGCATCACTCTGAACCGTCCATAAAATGTAGCTATTCACTTTACAAATGATGCAGGCAGGGAAGAAGGTACAGTGCCAGACCCTTCCAGAGAGATTATTTCCCTTTTTTAAAAAATAAAAAAACCAACCCCAGCTCATTTTTTACTCAGCTGCCTTCGTAAACAAGCTCCCCCCCCCTTACCTCTTCACCCTTCCCCTTTCATGTAACAAAGGCTATTGTACATTGAGCAACTCAGTGGAAGCTGCCTCACCTCTACGCAATGAGTTAGCGTTTAAAAATTTAAGATGGTTATCATTAAAGAGTATATTTTTTAGCTGGCAGTAGTACCCCTCCCACCTGCAGTTTCTCTTGACCATGCATACTAAGTCAGAAAGGGGCAGTCCAAGCTTACAAGATGCTTTGTAAAATGTCAATGAACAGGGGAATGCTGCCTCCCCCCCGTTTCCTCCTTTCTTTTTTCTAATGCAAAATCAAAAATGGAAACTTGCAATCCTTCAAACACACTGTGTTAATGCCTGTTAAATATTAAGCTAGAGCACTCCCCTAAGGAAAATGCTACATAATTTGGGAGTACTCTTGGATTCCAGCCGGAGTCTCAAGTGGCTGCTGTGGCTAGGAGTGCTTAGGCCTAGATTAGGCTGATCCGCCAGCTATGGTCAGTCCTAGGTCAGAATAGCCAGGCCTCAGTTCCCCATGCTCTTGTAACCTCCAGTTTGGCCTACTGCACTATACTCTACATGGAGTTGCCCTTGAAGGTGGCTGAGAGGCTGCAGCTAGGATGGAATGTGGCTGCCAGGATGATAAGTGGGGCAGCCTGAGGAGACCATGTGCCCCCAGTCCTGAAAGCACTGCACTGGCTGTCAGTGAGCTACTAAATCCAATTCGACATGTTAGTACTAGCATATAAAGCCATAAATGTCTGGGACCCAAGTATCTAAAAAAACACATTTCCCATTATCAACCATGAGAAACAGTTTGCTCTTCCTGCTCAGTTCCTGTTTGTATTAGCTTGTACTAGCCTTACTGACATTGGAAAGGGCCCCTTAAACAGGTCCACATTTCACTGGATGCCAGGACTGGACTGAGCAGAGCAGTGGTGCAAAGGGCTGTCTGTGAGCAAGCAGAACAGTGGCATGTGGGTGCCTCTTTATCCCAGTGGGATATTTCATTACCACTCGGAATATTTACTGAGACTATCTGCTGTTGCCATAGGACAGGCATGTCCAACAGGTCGATCACGATCTACTGGTTGATCGTGGGGTGCTCCTGCTCGATCCTGGCATATCTTTGGCCCCTCTGTGACCACCATTCAATAAAAATAAAATTTTAAAAAAGCTCACTGCCACTTTTTTATACTGTGAGTAGATCGCAGTCTATTGGGAGTTGGACGTCCCTGCCATAGGAGAGAAGGGCACTGGCGGAGGAAGATGGGGCGGGGGGAGTGCACCACCCCCAGCAGCGCGATCCCAGTGGGGTGCCATCGTGGCTGCCCCCAAGCCCGCACTGGGCGCCACACCCCCAGGATGCGCGTCACGTCTCCAGGTCGCATGCCACACCCCTGCTTGCAGCGCACCACACTCCCAGGAGGTGTGCCACCCACGCCCACGCCTGCTCTCCGCCCCCCGGTGCCGGAGCATAAAGCTCCGCCACTGGATAAGGGCACTGCTATAGCATTCGTGCACGCATGCACACACACACGTGTGTGCGATTGTACATGTCTTTATTGAGGATTGATGTATTTTGCTTTCGTGCTTAGAATCACAGAATTGGAAAGGATCACAAGGGTCAACTAGTCCAACCCCCTGAAATGCAGGAATCTCAACTAAAGTATTCGTGACCTCTGCTTTAAAACTTCCAATGAAGGAGAGTCCACAACAACCCGAGGGAGTCTATTCTACTGTTGAACAGTTCTTACCATCAAAAAGTTCTTCTTGATGTTTAGTCCTGATGTAAAGCTTATGTTTAGCTGAAATCCTTTGGAGGAAGGGTGATACCCTAAATAATTTTTTAATTTATTTTTTTAAAAAAGATTATCACTTCCCACGCTAAGCAAATCCATTGTTTTGCATACTCAGGGTGTCAATGGTGATGAGATATCATAGGGAACATTAGGCACTGACATCGTGAGCGTGTTGACATTGTGCATCTTGCTCTCTGGTATTTCCAGACATGCTGCAAGGACAACATTCAGCCTTTGGCAGTAATTCTGTGTCAGTTTTGTGAACAGGCCAAATCCAAGAGCAAATCGACTCGACGCTTTCCTGGCAACCCCAAGAAGAAGAAAAACTCCTATTCTCCAAAGGGAGTTAGCTCTTGGAAAGTGAGTATATCTCCATTTTTAACCCATGTTCCCTTTGCCTAAGAATACAAGGGGGCTGCTGCCATCCATGAAATTTGTCAGAATTGCCCTTGGACTTTCTCCTGGAGTTGTCGCTGCAGCCTCTTTATCCCATGTCTATGGTTCCTGAATTCCATATTAGGACAGATAAGATCCTCGTCAACAAAACACTTTCCTTGGTCCCTCAGAAATAGCCATTCCAATCTCAGTAAAGCTGAAGGCTTAAAGGGGTGAAGGATAATCCAAGAAGAGGATAATACAGCCCTTGAGTGTCAGAAAAACCATTTATCCCTTGAATAATGAAGGTAAGTCTATGGGCTTTTCCAGACAATATTTTTCAAAATGGATTCCCCCCCCCCCTTTAGGGCTATGCTAGTGCTAAGCTCGCTGCAGGGGAAATAGCCATAGTGCTGTTCACAACAAAGAGACCATCTTGGTCGTGAGTCTTGGAAGACCTGCTCCCTGCTTTTCAGGCCTTTTCTCACTTGGTCCGGGAGGGCAGGCCCTGACTGAAGCTGAAGCTGTGGATGAAACCAAAGACCATCTTGGCTGTCTTTTAATACAGACCTAGGTCCTCAAGCCTGAGCTTCCACGGCCACCACCTACCATGAATCACCGTTGGCAGGACTGGCAGCAGCAGCAGATATGTACTATGCCTATGATAATATTTTATTCACTTCCTGCCAACCTAGCAGTTCGAAAGCACGTCAAAGTGTAAGTAGATAAATAGGTACCGCTCCGGCGGGAAGGTCAATGGTGTTTCTGTGCGCTGCTCTGGTTTCACCAGAAGCGGCTTAGTGATGCTGGCCACATGACCCTGAAAAACTGTCTGCGGACAAACGTCTGCTCCCTCGGCCAGTAAAGCGAGATGAGCGCCGCAACCCCAGAGTTGTTTGTGACTGGACTTAACTGTCAGGGGTCCTTTACCTTTACTTTTTAATTATGCTGTTTTAAATGCGCATTTTATATTCTACTTCCTTTAGTAATGTTTTATTTTGAAAAGTTTCAGGTAAAGTTTGTTACCTTTGCTAGATTAAATGTGCATTCTGTAGTTGACCTCTTTTGTAATGTTTTGTTTTGAAATCTTTAAGAGAATATTTTAGTTTTCCCGTTAATCATGTTTTTTTGAATGTGTCCTTTATATTTGACTTTTTCTGTAATATTTTATTCTGAATTGTTTTACTTGATGTTTTAAAAGTTTGGCAGTGGGCATGACACTCCAGGAGAACAACTCCGTTCTTTCTGTGCAGTTCTGAACTCCTTGCCCTGATCTTAGACTCCTTAAATTTGAACCACTGCTTCCAGCCCAGCTAGCCTTGGCTTATCTATCACTTAGCCAGAGCATAGTGTCTGCTGTGGCTGAATCTTCCTTACTCTCAAGTAAGAGCCTCTGCCATCATGGTGTGAGCGAAAGCCAGGTCACACTTCTCCAGATTTTGTGATGTGACTCCCCAACTAAAAATGCATACCAAAATGTGCATATTATGGGAATGTGCACATGCACATTTATTGGTGATTGTGAACATGCTGTACGGAAATCCATTGCAAAAATTGCTTGCAATGTGTAAATTTACATGCAAAAATGTCTATACTTGAAGAAATCAGCATGAAAATTCAATTAAAAAAAAAAGAAATCACACACTGATGCAGAAATAGGGTGAACTGAATTTCAGATTAGGTAAAGGGACCCCTGACCGTTAGGTCCAGTCGCGGACTACTCTGGGGTTGCGGTGCTCATATCGCTTTATTGGCCGAGGGAGCCGGCCTACAGCTTCTGGGTCATGTGGCCAGCATGACTAAGCCGCTTCTGGCGAACCAGAGCAGTGCATGGAAACGCCGTTTATCTTCCAGCTGGAGCGGTACCTATTTATCTATTTGCACTTGATGTGCTTTCGAACTGCTAGGAGCAGGGACCAAGCAACGGGAGCTCACCCCGTTGCGGGGATTCGAACCGCCAACCTTCTGATCAGCGAGCCCTAGGCTTTCAGATTACAAACTGAGAAAAAATAACTTGTTTACAATTTTACACGCTTATTGCAAATCTCATTCATGCGTGAAACAGTTTGAAAGTTCACAGCTTCCACATAGCACAAACGCGGCTCTATTCTTGGATTCCATTGTCCTTAATCTGGAAGAACTGCTTTTGCTCCTTGGTTCTTTACTTGAAAGCCCTACATCACCAAGAAGCAGGCGTTGGAAAGGTGGGTCAAGCCAACCCTTTTACCGCTCTGTCACTACCACATGCCCCACAAAGTGTGTGCACAGGTAAACACTCCACATTCAATTATCTTGAATATGCATCCTGAGCTGCAGTCAAAGTATCAGGTTCTGATCTAGCTTACCCGAGATTTAAACCCATGTAATCATGTTAGCTTAAATGGTATTACCCTGGTGCATGACAGCATGCTCTGAAATGGGAAGAGCAAAGTCTGTGACTTTTCTTTCTTTTTCTTTTTTTCCAGAAAGACATTTATCCTGAGACGTAAAGGGTGCCTTGCTTTCTCCTCTCTCTCTCTCTCTCTCTCTTAATTGAGGCTTTCAGCACAAACTAGGTTAAAATTCTGGCCACTCTTGTGGTAAAATGAACAGAACTTTGTAATATACTGCAGTCGGCTTACACAGTTGATCAGAAGAAGCATTCTCCAGTTGCTGTACTTGAACATTCCACAACAACCCAAGCCAAAACCCCGCTCTGCTCTGTTTAGATGCTGCTCTCCAGGATTTAGCCTGACACCTTCCAAACAGACTGCACGAAAGAGATGTCTTGTTTTGTTCTGCTGGTTATCATTCTTCCCTTCCTTTCTATCCCCTCCCTCCTTCGGAGAGATTTCAGCAAAAACCATAAGCTTCTGACAGAGTGAATTTGTGATCTTATCCAATCATCTGGGCTGTTTGCAAAACTTCAATAGGTGGCAGCGTTTGGTTGATAAATGTTTTGTTATCCAAGTGATCTCATTTAGTGCAACTGTTGCAATATTAATAAACCGAACTTATGATTGCATTTGCCAGGACTGAAAACATTGCCATATCCCTGGCATTCGCTCATCTGAACTGACAACAGTGTTCTTTGTGCTATGGAAAGGCAGCATTCTTCTGTGTCTGTGTCAGCATGTGTACTGTTCGGGGGCAAACGGGGGAACAGATGGGGCAGAGAGGGAATGAACGCAGCGTAGGTTGGGAGCCTGTTTTGTGCTTGTAATCCAAAGGTTTCTTTTTTTAAAAAGTGCACCTGGGAAATGCAAAGCTATTGTCTCTCTCTGTCTTCTTTCTTTACTGTTTTGCATCCGATCCAGTGCAGACCAGGTTGATAGTTCTTGAAACATCCTATCTGACTTCTACCGGACAATAATAATAGAATCATTGGGTTGATTCATCATGTATACATACTTACAGCCTTTGGCTATCATCCTGTGGCTAGTGATATGAGCTCTGAGTATGGATTTTCTTGAGCTCTCAGTCTCACTTCGTGAACCAAATCCTCACTTTAATCTCTATAATCTCTGTTTGGGATGGGTAAATTGTGTTGGCCAACTCAGGTTTGTTTCTGCAGAAACAAATCTTCTGTTTTTTCAGAAAGTATTGCTTTATCAAGAATCTAGCAGTGCTAGATTCCAAAACTCTGAGTCTACAGAGTTAAGTACACTTGAATCAATGGTGTTTGTTCTAGATTGCAGTTACAGCCAAAATGTTGATCCAGCCATTTGGGGAGTAATTGGAAGCAAGACTATTATTTGTATTAGACATGATAGATAGATGTTAGATAGATGGAGAGAGAGAAGAAGGAGGAGGAGGAGGAGGAGGAGGAGGAAGAGAAGTGTCTACTGCCACCTTTATCACTTTCCTTGTGTAAGTACTGAATGATACACCAGCTTTTATCTCCTATCTTAGTTGAAACTGATTCTCTTGGCAATTTCACCTCCTCCAATGAGTTTGGTTGCTGCGAGTTGTCTACTAGTCAAAGCAAGGCAGATCTTTTTGAAGGCAAGAGTTTTTGGGGTACTGGAACTTAGCACTGCAAAATCTTAGGGGGTGAGGGATGAACAGTTTTAGTAGACAACTTGTAACCAATGTGCAGACACAACTCCATGATAATTCTGCCCTCTTGGATAAATCGAAAGCACAAGTCTTGCTTAATTTGTGAGCAGTAATGATAAAGCTAGGCCTTTGGCACAGGTTCCCAATCTGTATTCCTCACTCTCTCCATAGTACAGCTTCTCCTAAATCAGCAAAGGCAGACACAACTTAGAACATATGGAATGCCAACTGCAGAACTGGCACCATGACAGCTGCCACATAATACTCATTCTGTGCTTGTAAGGAATCATTCTCCTAGTGTGGTAGAACTTTTGAACTCTCTGCCTCTTGAGATCAGGCAGGTGCACCCCCCTGCTTAAAGCAGTTTTGTTTAGGTAAGCCTATATGGTCAGCAGGTAGATGTTGATGTGTTTCAATCTCTTTAATCTTTAATCATGGCCACTGGTCCCATCACCTCCTGGCAAATAGAAGGGGAAGAAATGGAGGCAGTGAGAGATTTTACTTTCTTGGGTTCCATGATCACTGCAGATGGTGACAGCATCATGAAATTAAAAGACGCCTGCTTCTTGGGAGAAAAGCAATGACAAACCTAGACATAATCTTAAAAAGCAGAGACATCACCTTGCCAACAAAGGTCCGTATAGTTAAAGCTATGGTTTTCCCAGTAGTAATGTATGGAAGTGGGAGAAGACTTCCTAGAAAAGACCCTGATGTTGGGAAAGATTGAGGGAACAAGGAGAAGGGGACGACAGAGGACGAGATGGTTGGACAGTGCTCTCGAAGCTACTAACATGAGTCTGACCAAACTGCAGGAGGCAGTGGAAGACAGAAGTGCCTGGCGTGCTTTGGTCCATGGGGTCACGAAGAGTCAGACACGACTAAACGGCTAAACAACAACAATCTCTTTCTAGTTCACTGCAGGCTTTAATTATTTTAAAATGTTTTAATTGCTTGCTTGTAACTGTTTTTACTGATAATATTTCCTGTAAACTGCTTAGAGGTTTTGTTACAACCAAGCAGTGTATAATTTTTTTTAAAAAATAAAAATAATCAATGAGGCATGAGACACTGTGAATTTACGAACCTGATGATCACTCAGAAAGATGTCCTTACAAATATTTGTTTATCTGTTTGCATCAAAGGGCTGGAGCTGAGAGAAGAGAGAGTGGGAGAGCTGGAAGAGAGAGGGAGCAGGCATGATTAACAATAGGTATGAGAATGGGTGAGTTAGATTAAACTGATCCATATGCAAATTATGCAAGTCTGATTGCATCAAACCATGCACGGTTTAATGAGTGTGGTAAGATGCCTTTATCGGCTTGGATGTGTCCCGAAAAGAAGAGCTGCTCCAAGATAATGCAGGGTATAATAAGGTTTTTCATTACTGGGTCAATCTGCATTTGTGTTTGATCTCTCTCTCTCTCTCTCTCTCTCTCTCTCTCTCTCACACACACACACACACACACACACAGAGAGACCCCTGTGCATGAATCACTATTCTTTTCCAAAGCATTTGTCAGTAACCTCTTATACATGATTGCCACACACATTAGAGCATGTCATGCACACACTGATTCCATCTAGTGCTGTGTGTCTTGCCTTAGACATTTCAAAAAAAAAATCAACTTGCACCCATGGATATCAGTGTGTGATACACCTGCAGTTCTCACTGGCCACTGGCCCATGGGTCCATGCCACCTCCAAAATAGGTGACTACTATGTGCACTATGCAGGCGTGCCTTGGAAAAGTATTCAGAAATACCAGATGATGCCAACTGTGGTTGTGAGAATCTGGGCAGAGCTAGGGTTTTTTATATCATGCGACTTCACTGCTGCACCAGGTACATTGGTTTCCAATTCATTTCTGAACACAATGTGCTGATATAATCACCAATAAAGCCTTCAATAGTATAGGGCCAGGATACTTGAAGGTTCTACTTCCACCACATGAGGCCCTCCCTGCTCCAAAATAGAAATACAAAAGAAATGAAGAGATAAATAAGTATTCTTTTAAAGACTTCCCCCTCTTCCCTGGCAGGCTTTCTGTTGATAATGTGGTCTTCTGATAAACCCAAGAAAACTACTGCTGGGAGAATATGTTGTAGTCCCCACCAGGGATGGGGAACCTGTGGCCCTTCATATGTTGTTGGACTCAGCTTCCCATGAGCCACAGTGAGCATTGCCAATGGTCAGAGGTGATGGGAACGCTAGTCCAACAAAATCTGGATAGCCACAAGTTCCCCATCCCTGCTCTGCACCTTCACCAGCAGTAAGCAGCTCGACTCTTCTGTCCGATTTACACTCATAACACTAAATTATTATATAGCATTACACAACCAGTCTCAGGCCTCTGAGGCCTCCTCCCCACAGTGACAGATCCCTGCGTGGCTGCATCCTAGACTTCAGGGACAGTACACACAGTCCGTTTGCTATCTGAATTGTGCTCAATGACCTGTTGTTTTTCCAGCGTCAATTTCCAAGGCTACAAATAGCAGTATGTATTTTAAGTTACATAACTGTTCAATTCCGTCATTAAGATGCCACTTCGTGTGCCTTATCATTTAGCTGAAATCACAAAAATCCCAAAATCATATTGTTTATTGCCTTTTCTCTTCCCCTCTTCTCTCTAAGCTGTTTGCAAATGCTCTGTTTCTGAGCCCCGGAGGTGAAACTCCTCAAAGAACTTCAAGGCTATGAATTGCAAAACTCTGCCTTTCATTTATTTCACAGTAAGCAAGAAAGAAGAATGTGCAAGAGTACAGCACAAAAAACAACCCTGTTGTACAGTTCAGCTAACACAACAAAGTACATTTTAACTGTACTTAAAAAGCAAGTCAGCTTTTACATAAACAGGAGAGGGGGTGGGGGAAAGAAGCACAACAATCATGCAGAAGTAATACTTTTCAAGCCATATCTCAGGGAACTATAAAACTGACCACAACACTCAGAATGACATTTCTATGTTTGACTGGAAAGCAAAAAAATCATTGGTGAGAAATGTGATGCAGAGTGAAGAAAGAGCATTTGAAGTTATCAAAGGAAAAGTACTTGATGTTGAAAAAAAGGAAGATTCTGATTTTAAAGAATGGCTAAAGCTCTCGTTTTTCCCCCTTTAGAATGATGTTATGCTCTCAAAAGTCATCTGAAAATAATTAGACTTAAAACATAATTGTCCTGCTGGATCAGACCAAAGGTCTAACTAGTCTAGCTCCTTGTTTTTAAAGATAACGATTTTAAAGATAACGATCATCCAGATGTCCCTAGGAAACTCACAGGCAGGATATGATGTTGGTAGCCATTACCTGGGTTTTGTCACCAGCATCTGATAATCAAAGGTGATGATCATGAATTGTCTAATTTTTAAAGCCTTCTGGGCACATTTTGTGACAGAGATTTCAGCCTGTAAATTTCACTATGTATATACCAAGTGCTTTTTTTCTGTCCTGAACCAATTGTGACTCAGCTTCACTGAGTGACCCCTATTTTGAGAGGGGATTTCATAATTTTGCAAACTTCCATCATGTGCCCTGCATAGTTTAGTTTCTAAACAAAGTGTGGTTAAAGCAAAATTTGATCCACCTGTACATATGTGAAGGTTGACATACCCTTGTGGAATTGTTTTCTTTACTGTAAAATGGCTAATTTATTCAACTTTTATGCTTCATATCAGTTACCAATCTATAAAAAGGACTAGCCTGATTGTGAAGGGTTTTTTGGAGCTGCCTGAAGGGACTTTACCTAAACATTTTTGGAAACCCAAGTGTAAACTGTTTATTCTTTCCTATCTTCATTCTTGTTGATATTCCCAAAGAATTCTAAACATAATATAAAGCAAGACTTCCAACCATTGAAGCCAAGCTGGTTCTTCCTCAGCAAGGCTTTTTCTTCTATATTTTTACTAGCATCAGGTTTTCTAACGCTTTCCACCAGAAGCTAAGCTGATATATGTATAATTCCCTAGAACTTCCTCAATTTAAAACAATTATTAAGGTAGTATGGGCCACCTACCAGTCCAGGGGGCTGGTTTTAGTGACAGACTACTCTCCTGCAGTGAAAGCTGAGGCAAATAATTTATTCTGCTGCTCTGTAATCCTCTTTGATTCCTTCAGGGCTCCTTTTTACACATTTTTTGTAAGCTAAACAGACCCATTCCCTTCCTGCCTGGTTTGCTGCTTAGATAGTTAGATAGAAGCAGATAGTTCAAGAGCTAATGGTTGCAAAAGGCAAGAACAAACTGATTAAATCTAAGCAAGAGACAGATAGGTATTTTGGGAGTAGAGCTTCTTCTTCTGAGGCCTCTGTTTCTTTCCAATTGCCAGTTAAGCCATTACATCCCTTTCTTTTATAGAAAGTCTATTATAGTTTGTTTTGGCATTGCAAAAACAATAGAACAAAAAGGAGTTTTCATTCTGCTTTGGCCAGGCTGTTGCTGGAATGGAATAATCCATATTTATGTGCAGCGAGTTGTCAACATGTTACACAGCTCTTCTAAACACGATTCATATTCAGTGACTGAACACACAATTATACAGAGGCCGAACGCTTGGATCTTATTCTGAAACATGCAGAAGGAGAACAGGCAGATACCGCACTCCAGTGTGTGTGTGTGTGCATTTTTAAATGTGCAGCAGCTGGGTTTGACAATGGATTGCCCTTGCATTTTAACAAAAGACCAAGGTTAATTATGGCAGAGGTTAAAACCTCATTTAATTCAGATATGGCCCTGGGTTAGCAATAAAGGGACTGATTTTATAATGGATCTGCAAGGCGGCATGCAACTCCATTTCTGGGATTTTCTAGTTGTACTTTGGAGTCCAGTTTTTAGAGTCTAAATACATTTGAGAGCCGCATAAGAAATGCATAATTTCCCCCAAATAAAAGGCTTGACTGTACAATATAGGTACCCTTGGCTAGGGGGCCAGGATCTTATTTCATGGCCAGTATAATGCTAGGGCCTCAGGACCCTACCACCATGCAAATCATAAGTATTTGTTCATTTCTAGACCAGATGTACAGCAAGTCTAAGGATCTAGCTGCACATAAGGGCGAATGTCAGAACCACCTTTTATTTCTAATCATTGCAAATATTGACAGTTATAATGCTCTGTAAATGGTTTATAGGCAATATTTAAAAAGTCATGCTTTTTCATGACAAGAGCAAAAGAAGCTCTTGCCATTCTTCTCCCCAGCTCTGTGCAATGAACAGCCTGCTAGAACTTGGACAGTCTCTGCCTACTGGCAGTCCCTGTTTGCTCAATGTGGCAAGCTCACCAGCTGTTTGCAGACAAGACTACTTGTATGTATCATGCATCAGAAAGCATGGATTTCAGAGCCTGTGGTGTTTGAGGTACAGGAAGTCCTCACTTTTTTATTTTTTTGTTGTGATCAGATCCAGATTGCTAGAACCCACGAACGTACAGGGATTCATGAAGGGATGGTGTGTATGGCTAGCTATACTCAAGTCCCTTATACCTGCTGATACACAATTTGCAAAAGATGGGACACCTGATCCAGACAGAATTAAGCTTGCAGTCATTTGGTCCCTGTTTAGAATTTGTATCTACAACTTAAACCTCTGACTGTTGTTATCTATTATCCTCCAATCTGGGAATAATATATGTTTAAGACCTGTCTTTTTATGTAATACTGTAGCCTCCCACAACTTCCAGAGGTTTGGGACTACAACTCCATCAGCTCCAGCTGGCATGGCCAGTGGTCAGGGATGGTGGCAACTGTAGTCCAGAACATCTGGGAGGCACCAGGTTGAAAAAGACTGATCTACCACGTATTCCATCTGGGAAAGCAGAGGTGTATTTCCTTGTACTGAGGGGAGAGTGCTGAAATCCTCCCTAAGGATTGAGAATATGTGTTTCTTGATCAGATCTTCTGTGGGATTAAATATTCTGTGAATCAGTCATAGAATC